GCAATTACTTTAATTTACATTAGGAGGGATAAGCATGTGTCGTCACCTCATTTGCAGTTTAGTGTCTTAAACTTTTCAAAACTACTGGATCACAGTATCAGTGAGTGCTGACCCCTGCAACATAATGCTGGTTTTGTCAAGTCTTCGTGGGCGTTTTTTGGATTGAAGGAGAAAAAGAATTCAGAAAGGAAAATGACTCAACTTTAGACAAACTTGTAATTCCAAAATAAAAGCTTAAAACCCACCAGCACATTACAAAAACGTGTAAGAGAAACTATCCCCTGTAGTGTTAAATCCTCTCTAATTTGGAGTCTGCCCTGATTGTGTGCGAGAATGCAAAGCTAAACACCAGGAGCCACAAATGGGCTTTGGGAAAACATCTCCTCCCCCAAAATAGTAAGACTCCCCTCATCTCTAGAGGAGGAGCGCTGTTTGAACAAGTATGTCATCTACACCTTAACAATGAAAAAAGGAGAAAAAACGCAAACTCGCATGTTCTGGCTGTGTCGTCACTACCTTCTGTCAGGAATTACATCGCTTTCCTGGAGTGCAACTGATTTTAACATGACTGTATTTGAAGTAATACTCATAGTAAGACCCACTTATAATCTTATTTTGAATAAGAAACAAATTTACCTGCAATGGTACCACTGAAGTAAAACAATTTAGTTCTATGCAGTTTTCTGTAATAAGCAGAAAATTTCTCTTTTGCCCTTCTGCTGTTGAAATGGCACTTTTGGTTCCTTTAGCTGTGGAAAAAATAATTTTAACTTGGAGGAAAACTGGCCACACTTTATCTCTGAGCTGATTTGAGTTATCTGGTTGCCTAAGGGCACAGAAAGAAGAAATTAGAAAACTTTTAAACGTGCAAGTCCGGAACATTAAATCTTAAAATGCACTTGTTGAAAAAGCTGCTCCCTCTCCCATCACACCTGAAACCAAAGTGATCCAGGTACTTCACTGTGTTTCCCTGATGTGTTGGTCAGTCACTGTTGCCCTGCAGGAAACTGCAGAGTAAGTTCAGGAGAGGAGCTCTTTGGCTTTGAGGTTGTGCACCAAGTCAGAGCAAGCACTGGTGATTTGCCGCAGGAGGAAACTACTGCACAGGGGGAAGCAGGAGCTTTCCTCTTCCATAGAAAATAACAGGATTATTTTCTTATGAGACTTGTGCCTAACCTCCTCCCCGACGACAGATTTTGAAAGACTAAACAGAACCCCCACCATATCCACCTCAAACACGTTACCTATGGTTTGTTTAGAACCTGTGTTTTGTTTTTTTAAAAGAATTTCTCCTCTAAGATTAGTGCTGATACAAGAGCCCAGTTTTCTCTTCCAAAGCAACTCCCCAAGACCTGAATAACAATGAAAGTGTCCAAGAAGACTAGCTCCCTGCTTTCTACACCTGTGCAGAGAAACCCAGCTGAACAGAAGGGACCCTGCTGCTCACAGAGGTGGATGCTACTGCTGCATGGCAGAGAGGAAATGAAGACCAAATCTGGAACAGATTAACAAATGCAGCTGTATGCTCTCAGCTGCCCCTGCAGCAGCAGGGCTTTCCCCAACACCCACCTTAACAAGTGCCAAAGGCCATATGCTTCATCATGTAACACAACTACAGCTGTACTCTCTTAGTATTTTAGGATCAAAGCATCTGCTATCTTTGTGTCCAGAGTATGAAAGCTCAGCTCTCGCATGCTCATTTTAATAGTGCCAAAAGGATTACAGCCCATGTTTGTAGCAGGAAGTTTCTTGCTGTGTGTCTGAGATCTGGTCCCTTTGTTTTCTGATTTAAATAAATACAATGGTGCAATTATGAGACCAGTGCACACGGGGAAATAACTTACTTGCAAATAAGGCATAAATATTTACTGTCACAAAAACAGTAAATACACTGGAAAAGCAAGTTACAATGAGGGGTCTCATAAGCTGAAAAGGCAACCAACCAGGCTGTCTGAACGACACTAGTCAAATCTCAGTGCTTGGCTGAGAGAAAGCAAGCTGCAGCCACTCACTATATTTCTGTATCACTACTGGCTTAGGAAGTAAGTTGTAACAAGAAGGAATACAGGGTGCCACCTTTGCTGACGCTCATTCTTTTTGCTGCAAACCTAAGAGTTGCAAGCTGTGTAGCAGCCTGCAGCAGTAAGCATGGATTCATTGTCTAGGGAGAGATGCTGTGTAAATGAACTTGGGCACAGGAAAATGACAACACAGCTCAAATGCCTCTGAAGAAATTGCACTCAAAACATTGCTCTGCGAAGTCCAAAGCCCAGAGGTACCCGCACTGAATGAACAAAAGAAAAAGGGCTGGAACTGACACACACCAGTGGAGCTGTCTTGGGGGAAAAGAAAAACAGATGGGGCAAGCAGAATACCCTGACTGCTGTCATCTGGGAGCACACGCTGCATCAGCCCAGACGCCTCTTGCGAGGGAGTAGGAGAACATGTCCACTTGCCTATCACCAGTAACAGCTGGGGAGTGACGACTGTGCCTGCGCACCTTTTGCTCCACTGGTGGGTATGAGCCCCAGGAGCTGCATACAGTACAAAGCAGCAGGAGGACCAATGTTGAAAATTACAGCACCCATGAATTGCAGTATAGCTTAACAACCCTCCTGTGAAGTTATTCGCCAGCTACACTGAGCATGCTTAAAATCAACAATGCAAATGCTTTTAAGGACACTTTATAAGCACAAAAATAGTAGAAACAAAACTTTGTGAACAATCTGAAAGATACAAAAAAGTGCCTTTCCATAGCAGTGCTTTAAAAATGCACACAATGGTATATACTCTTATTGCTCAAAAAAACTAGTCTGAAATATTAAAACAATTTCCAGAGGTGCTGAAACAGATTTTAAAAAAATCATATGAAACAGGTCAGCAGAGACAGCACCATTAATTTTTCTCTTTTCATGATGCACTTACTTAAAACTATATAGTTACAGATGTGTCATTTTTCCCCTCTAGCAAAGCTTTTTTCCTATTCATAAATTATTCACAAAGACATTTATTTTATTATTTGGATTTTTTAGAAAACACTTTAAAAAAAAAAAAGGAATAGGGGACAGTGTCACAATATTTCTTAAATCTATCAGCCTGAATTACTCTAATGAGAGATTACTTTACATCTTTTTTACACGCTTGAGGATACTGTCAGGTCAGGCTACTACTTCCTTTGTTTCATTGTTCGGGGGAAGGAAAGCATTTAGAATTTGCTTTTGGAGAAAAAGGTAAACAAACAGTAAAATCATTTGCCATCTGAGCCTTGGCAGTATCCCCATGGTGGTGAGGGAAGCTGTAACAACCGAAGATGGGGTAGGTACAGTCCAAGTATTTTAGTTACTTTACAAAGGTGGTGTACCACTACCCTGTAAGGAACATGCATGATACATAAGACCACTTATGCTAACTACACTACCTTATCACAACGTCCGAATATGTGGGTAAGACCGTACCAAAGTACAAGAAAAAGGACTCCAGTACTTGATCTGGTGATTGACTGTGAATCGGTTGCAAACAAAAAAACCCAAAGCAAATATGATAGTCTATTTCCTACTCATATGGGCCCTTAAATTAAATTATTAGCAAATGTTATTGTCTCTCAAGGTTGGGGTTTTTTCCAGTCTTCTCCCTTGACTGCTAGAAGTGCAACTTTGTAATTAACAGATTCATGCATTGGTTGCAGTCTCTGGCGGGTCAAAGAAAAGAGAGAATTCCCACTGTGCTTGGCCTGAAATTACTACTCCCTTCTCTCTTTCTAGAAGGGAAAGTTTCCTGACAGTTTCTAATGAATTACAAACAATACTTTCTTTAAATGTTCTCAGACACTTGTTTTTGTGAAGATAATACATCTTATCAGGCACAGACAAGGTGAGACGGTACGCTGTGTATGTTTGTGCAAGAACATAATGCCCTCTACAGAAACCTACCTGTTCATTCAGGGAAGGAATTACACGTACAAGTGATGTATCGGTATGGGTCAGCATTGATTGCAGGAGTCCTGGCAGCTTTCAGAAGGGGTTAACACAAATATATTCATCTTGAGCCATAGAAACAAACGATCGAGCCTACTATAAAGTTAGAATGCATAATGGATTGGAATAATATATATTTATCCTACTTACTGCATGGACAAATAACTTTGAAATAATTTGTAGCAGTGTATATTTTTAAACTATTTGGAAGGGAGGGAGAGGCTCTTTATAGTATAAATATATTTCACTCCAGCCCACTATATATAAAATCTATTTTCTTCCTCATAACATACCCATTTTCAGTAGTATTATGACCAGAATGTTTTGGTACGTTGCATCTGTACTTTTCAATCAATGGACAACGCACAGTTACTAGCAGAACACCTCAGCTCTGCACCATATGCCCACCACAAACTGCCAAGAGGTTTGTGGTTTTTTAGTTTTGTTGTGTTTGTTTTTCTTCTTTTTTTTCCCTTCTTTTCTTTAAAGTGCCCCCTACATCTTCATCTTTGTGGTAAGATTTGACTAGTGACAGAGTCCAATTCCAGATAATATAGTGACTGAAACAATAAATACGGTTCTACAAAAACATTCTGGTTATCTTCTATAATTGCGACAAAATATATCACAATATATTATATACCTACACTTATAATACATGCACAACCATGTCTCACGTGGACAGACACTACAAAAAAATTATCTCCCCCCCTCCCCTAAATGCAGAAAAAGTAAGAAAATGGGTTTTTGGTCCAATCCGTATGAAGGGTAAAAGAAATTGAAAGGGTAAGTCAATGCTTCTCTACCCACCTTTCCCAGTATTAACACCCCCAAGCCCCCAACCTTTTTGGCCTAGCCACGAAAGGGAAATGTCTTTACATTTAGCCTTAGCTAGAGTTTGAGATCACCTCTTTTGATGGGGCTATCATCCACGTCCCCACATTCTCTCCAAGTGCGCAAGATCACAGGTTGGCTGATCACGGAGCAGCTCGCAAGTCACGAGGAGCACCGGCCCCTGGGGACTGACTACCAGTCCCGAGACAGCTTGGTGTTCTGATCCCTTTTGGGAGGTGCGGGGGGTGGCCCCCTCCGTAATGTTGCATAGCCGGATATATGACTGCCCCCGAAGCTGCTTGTCTTCTGCTGGTCAGCCAGCAGCTCCGGCGGAGGCGGAGGCAGGGCCATGTCGTCCATGGTGGCCGTGGGCTCTGTTCTGGACATCCGTGCGGACGACAGGGAGCCGTGCCGGGTGATGGATTTCCGCTGCAGCGTCCGGTTGAGGTCTGCCAGGAATCCCGGCTGAACGCTAAGGCTGGACTTCGGTGAAGTGGGCACTTGAGGGCCAGCTGACCCAGGTGGCTCTGCTCTGCGCCCTCCGCCTGCGTCAGTCGAGTGCTGTCGTTCCGCTTGGGACGTGTGGGTGGTGGGGCTTTTTTCACAGATGGTTTTGACCACACCTGAGGCTGAGGATTGACAACAGCGACTTTTGGGGAGGTGCTGCCTGAAAACACAGATGGGATCTCAACTGGCGGGAGAGGAAGATCTATTTCAGGTGGTGGTGGTGGAAAATCTGAATCGGATGGTGGTGAAGGGAATTCAACCACAGGTTCCTTCCCAGACACACCCGGAGCAGGAGCCTTGGCCGGGATCCCTCCTTGCGGAAGGACAATGGGCAGGCTCACCCCAGAAAGGTTGAGCTTTCCTGGCTTTGGAGGGGCTGCAGGAGGTGATGACTCCTTGGAAGGAGACCCTGATGGCTCTGGTGGGTGTGCAAATTTGCTGACAAGGCGGTCCACTGAAGGTCTCTTGGACTCATGGTACTCAGTGGAGCTGGTGGACTTGATGCTGGAGTTTCGCTGAGGTGTTGGAGGTGGTTTCTTCCCTCCAGGGCTTGATGTCTTGCTGGTCTTTTTGACTGGAGACCCTGATTTGTCAGGGGGGGGAGAACCTGCAGAGGAAGCTGGGGAAGGAGGTGGAGGAGGAAACACTAAGCTGCTCTCTGGTGGAGGAGGGGGAAAATCGGGTGAGGGAGCGGAAGCGGGCTGCCATTTGGGCTTTGCCTTCACTGCTGGAGGTGACTGTGGAGCCACGCTCAGTGGAAGGGGTTTCAGAGGCTGGGGCTCAGTGGCAGGTGAAGTGGGAGGAGGTGGGAACTGGCTAACTATCTGTTTCACCACCGACGGCACTGGGGACTGAGGGGATGGAGGAGGCTTCACAGAGAAACTCTGCTGCTTTGGGAACGTTG